TAAATCAACAAGTCTGAGATGATCGGACATATAAGAAGTTTACTAAGTAAATGCTACCTAGTTACGCCAAAAAAATGTCATTAAAGAGATATTCATTAAGTATAGATTCGTTAATAAATAAATTCGCACGGTGACAAATTCATTCATGTGAATTGCTGCACATATCTGTTACTAAACTGGGTTGCCTAAAACGCCGCATTAAGCGTAGTATAGCAATGCATGATGGGTGAAAGTATGAAACTCACTATTTTTTTTACTATAGGTTGTTATTCAATTTTGGAGGAGGGAGGGGGAGACTTATGGCCAGTATCTTATAATTGGCATTGCTGAATAATCGTGGACAGTGGAAGGACATTAAGTTTCTTTTTAAGTACGTTTGTCGCTGATTTTTAAAAGACCTACGGTAAAATTGCTGTTTCCATCGGACATTGTTGACAATCTCCAGGACGAATGGACACGTTATGTATCGCACACTAGGCGTTCAAAAAAATGGACCTTAAGTGAAAACTCTGCTTCCAGACAATTACTTTATAAGCGGAAATGTTCTACTTTGGTAACGCATTGGCTATTTTTAATAGTTACTTAGGACTACGATTATCAAATAGTATCTACTATATATATCATACTTTGATAACGCGCTGTTTTCGGAGTTCGGGGCTAGAATCGGGGTTTTGAAGGCTGTCTTTTCAATGACAAAGTGGCAACTTGAGTTATAGAGTTGTATCGAATTAAATACAAATGCACCATTTTCGTTCCATTTGTCACCAGCCAAGGACGGAACCATTTCGCATTGCCGCCGGCAAGTTTGACTCCCAGTTGTTGTATCACTTCTGTATCTAGTTAAAGGTTGTTTACATCTAAGTCACAAGTGCCTTTGTTTACGTGTACTATCATACTCATAATAAAACGCCAGTCAAGGTTCGTTTATACGGCCATCGCCTCATTACTTCACCTTCCTCAACATTAACCCTTGACAGATTTCACCACGACTTACTGTATGTCGCACGCCCGCAAGCGACTATAAGATTCACTTGCATTGCCCAATCTGGACTCATGATAGAAACGACACATTACTTAAGTAAAATCATGAAGATTAAAATCTTGGAACGTCTTGGTCATCACAAGAAAGCGCTTAGTGCTGTATTTGTTGCTAGTAGCGAAGACCGGGTCGGGCAAGTCGATATGTTATTAGTTTCGACAGTTTTATCCACGGGCGCTTGCAACAGGATTTATGGTTACGGGAGATAGGCTTGGGTAGGGTTATATACTAGTATACTAAAAATTAAGACAGGGTATGAAGCGTCTGCACTTGAAAAATAGCCGGTGGTGGCGCTGTTCAACACTTCTTTCGCCGCTAATTCATAACTTATGGCTTGAAGGATACAATGAGTTTCAAATCGAATGGTACAGCCAGAGTTGTGTACATATATAAGGTACATTTAGACATAGTTATTCAAAGTAAATTTTATTGTCATTATTCAAATAAATCGTCAACATTTACAAATTGTCATTAATCCTGGCTTATCTTACACTTTTGCCTACCGCCCTTGCGCTGATTGGTGGCGCTAGCTTCAATTTAGCTGCAGTGAAATGCATCTTTTTCTAACAAGATCACGCACGGGTTCGTGGGCCGGTTATGAATTGCCGGCTTTAGCGAAATCGCGCGATTCAAACGATGTTATATTTCGTCAAAGTATATTTAAGTGCGCCCTCTCAGGCAATACTGAGATATTTTGTTCAATGCATTGTCAATTCAAATTACTCGTTATAGCTGCACCATGGACAATACGTCGTTCCTTCCAACATTTCCTAATTCTACCATATATACGGGAAAGGCAAGTTTTCACACTCGTATAGAACCCTTTAAATTTTTTGCCTAACTTAGAATAACAAACATCCCCATATTTTAATTAGGCTTGAACATCAACTTCAAAACATTTTAAACATCAAACATCAAAACATTTTAAACATCAAACATTCATCAAATTTTTTAAAAATCATTTTCATTAGCATTACGCATATAACGAGTATTGTATAGTGCCCTCACATGACAAGAAACGAATATTTGAGCGTTTCAAACTTAAAGTGCGGTGGTCAGCACACCGCGCATGTGTGTTGATAAACATGGATTTTCCCACAATCCAATGCCCTCTTCTAATGGAAATCACGAGGTTTGATCAGAGTGCAATTTTCACTAATTACCACCAACGACTCCTTCGATACTTTCCAATCACCTAAAAAAAATACCTAATTAAAGTTTGGTAATGTCTCATTTTGTACTCATTGATCTGTGCAACAGTCAAAGCTGCCATCTTTGTTTACACGAGACCCATATATCTCGCACATGCATGGCGCGACGATTACCGCTCTTTAAAATATTTTCAGAACAGTTTTCTATTTTCAATATCATCAGTTTATTTGTTATTATTGATTACAAACTGTGAATATGAATATTCATGACATTATACAGAGTACATACACATATGTAATTTGAAAATTCAAGGGTATTCGGGAATACTTACACAAATGTATCTATGACCTGCATTCTAAAAATATATTGCCAGAAAATTCAACTTATTTCTCGACTCATGGAAAAAAAAGAAAATTTCACATTATTAACCCATTGAGCACCAGTAAAATTTCACAAATTTTAAACCCTAATAATTTGTTTCTAATTTAAGGATCGGAAAGAATAGAAAATTAGATAAAAAAAATTATCAAACTTATTATACCGATAGAAAATACATTAAAATAGGCAAAATGTTGCACAACAATTTTGTCAGAAAAAATTATGGTGCTCAAAGTGGTAAAACATTTTTCAGTAATGTGATCTGCCCAACATGTAATAACTTATACATACATATGGAAGAGGCATACAAAATAAAACTTAACAAATCTGACAAAGATAGGGGAACAGAGCCCCACAGACTAGTATGAATATGCTTCAAGTTAAGCAAACACATATATACATTTAGAAGACTATTCAGTATGTACAAACTGATGGGTTTATACATTTATTTCGTCACTAAATGTCAGTTTACATTGACGCGAGTTCCAATTAACAACTACTGCAACAAAACTGCAAAAAATTAAAGCGAGGGATTCATCACCTGCACACAAGCCATAGCATGTCGTTTACAAACAAGCGTCTACCCATGAGCCTTTGCGCTTTTAGCGTGTGTTGTTATTGGTGCTTAGGACTCACTTTAAAATAATCAATGATTTTTTATCTAGCACAACATCTAGTACAAAGTTGAGTTGAATGTTTTCTATTTGTACAGATAAAAGTTGGACATGCTGGTGGTGAAATCCTAATGTTAAAAGGACATCATTTTTAAAATCATTATAGCAGTATTTCAGAACCTCTCATTTAGAGTTTGATAATTAATTAATATTTAAATAATGATGGTTGTCACAACACATGATAAATATGGGTCCCATGCAATTAAAATGCATGTAAATACAATGCAAGAAACTTGAATGCAGCCTACACTACGACCACCACCCGTTAATTCTGTCAAAATATTCAGCTAAGTAAATATTCTTTATATATCTGAGTAAGCAATGGTGAGAACTGATTGAAGAAAACCTGGCAGCAAGGCAGAAAAACTTTCTTGGGCGTTCATATTATATACCAAAAAAGGCACGTTTTAAAATTGCCACTGTTTGGTCCTTCATTATGCTAGCAATTCTTGATACGTCAACTCAAATGACACTGTACTTTTCTGGGAACTTATTTAAAAAGTTACCATTTGTTTATTTCAAGAGTGACACGTATATAAACAAAAAGAAACATATTACTGTAGAATACTTTATTTTCGCTTGGAATTTATTTTCGCTATTTTCGCTGAAGGGATGATTCTGTGAAAATAAAATCCAGTGAATGTACATGTACTTTTTTTCCTATATTTTACAATAAACACATCAGAAATCAGTGAAAATAAATTCCATACAAAATGCCCAAAAAGCCTTTTCAGTGAAAACTAATTCCAGCGAAAATAAAGTATTCCACAGTATCATGTTCGGTTTTCTAAGTTTCTTGCATATATCTCTCATTCAAAATTAAATTTATTGGGTATAACTCTGATTATGAATTATTAGAGAAAGGGACAAGTGTTCTATTCGGATTGAAGCGCTACAGTTATCACACTGCATACTAATATTACCACAGATACAACTAGTAAAAAGTTCAACCACATGTAGACTGTAGTGCTTAAATGCTGTGAGAATAATAAAAATGAAAAAAAAAAATAAAGAATGTTGTGGCAACACACCCATATTTTGTATTTTTCAACATTTGAAGGCTGTTTTGATCTGTAACTGTTTGTGATTATTAGATACAATTTTGATCTAAAAAGTCGCATTTTGGTGATTATTTCAAATTTGGAAATAACAGTCACTTTAATCGATTTCCGTGAATGGAAAGAGTCGTAAATTATGCCAATTGATCGGCGTAACATCACTCACAATGTTAGTGCTCATGATAATAAAATTAAAACAGTAAAATGTAAAATTGTTCTATTTTTATTTATTTCTCTAATCACATTAATCTAATCTGAATCTCATTTTAAGTGTGCAAGTAAACTAGTCTTCCAAACTGAATACCACATGTTTGGAAGGCAGGGCAGACTTTACTCTGATTTATACTGCCGAGTAAACAGTCAGCTCTTAGAATTGAACACACAACGTCCAGAACATGCTAACAACTATACCATCGCTTAAGTTTACAAAACACATACCACTAGCGAGATTCAATTGCATCTTGCTGAGACATGTTGGGATTGTCAATTGCAAACAGATAGCAATTAACAAATATCAATTAAAATTCAAATGTATGTTTCATTATGTTGAGCATACTTATGTTTTCATTTCTTTTTCTTCATTTAATATGTTAACCTAGCCTGACATGGTCAGTGATGGCACTCACTGACGGATTTACTTGGATGCAATGACGCAATGACACAATGACATAATAGTCATCAACAAGCACACATTGTTGCTTTTTTAGAATTTGGTAAAGAATATTTATTAGGCATAGGAACTCTGCCAATCGAGGATTTAAATACAATTACAATAGATAATGTTGGTAGAAGTTAGCAACATTGCCATTGTTATTTTGTTGGTAGACTCCACTGGAGTTGGAAATGGCTTTGTAGAAATCCACTAACAGCACATTTATTTTTATTATTTGGTGAGTTCAAGCTAGGTCCTGGTTCCTGCGTTATTCATGGTGTTGATACATTGGCGCGAACATAAAACAGACAATCGATTTTTTCCATAGTGGACAGAAATGATCCAGCACATTGTAATATGTCTAAACAAGAGGAACGTGTTATTATGACTAGCTATGTGATGGCTGTCATAATCAATAGCTTTTGCAATTTGATTGGTGCCGACGTGAACTTGTCGGTGATGGACAAAAATTAAAGCATTGTGTCAGGCATAGTTTGCGTGCATCAACTATTGCTGACCAAGTCAGGCTTGGCAGGATACTTGTCAATTTAAGAACTCAAATTCTTTCCTATATTGCATAATGCATATTAGAGCAAACATCTTCATCATCGTATAAATAAAATTATATATACGTTTCCCCATTCTTTCTGATGTCACATGACACATGAGTGACTAGATACATTACTGAAGAGCTACAACAACATCCAAGGATCCACAGTTAGGCAGAATTAATGTTCTTCACCCTGGTGTGTAGAGCCCTAATTATTCATGTTGAATTTACACAATGACGCTTACGAAAGTTCACCAATCGGTGCATTATGCAACCATAAGTCATGCATAAATTGATAAAGACCAGCTGTTACAGAAACCTACAAAGAGACAAATGAAAATGATGTCATAGTCGCATGTATGCAAGCATACTGTATTATGCTCCATTATTTGAGGTTTTCAATCTCCCCGGTATTTCTTTTCAAACAACTCAAAAAATAGTTATGCATTTTCATAATTACAGAAACACCTTAAACACACTGGCTGAAAATAAGTTCCTAGTTATGTCGAAAAACATTTAAAAAATTTGAATGACAAAAGGCAGAGAGCTTCCCCAGATCTTGCGTTCAGTATGACTGTAATAAAGTTTCCTGCATACACTAAATGTAGCTATTTGATTGGCTGATTATCAATCAATAGACTTCATAAATTCGAACAGTGAAATTAACGAGGTGGCGATTTTTAGCATAATGCTTCAGCCTCTAGTATGATTTGCAGCCAGAGTCAAAGTTGTCAGAATATTTACTTCCATATATATATATATATCAATATGATAGTCTTGTAATTTAAAAACTGAAATACAAACTTAAAGAAGAGTACTGTAAAACATGTCCTATTTAGCTAGCATGTTAATTTAGCTAATCTGTAATCACGAATTCAAGATGTCAGTAATTTAAAATAAAGTATATTCTCACAATGAGATTGTTGGTATTTTAGCTAAATTAAGATTTTGTTAATTCATGCATTGAGTTAAATTCGCTAAAATGGTGTGTAGATATTTAAACGTGTTTTACAGTATTCTGCATGAAAAAGCCCTTGATATCAGTCACATTCAAAATATAGTCAACTAATTTAATCACATGTGCATTTGGGAGTTAATGATTGGCTGTCGTTTGTGGTACAAAATTATTAATTCAAATTAGAGTCAGTGTTTCAATAAAGCGTAATAGAACTCGTATCCTCGAGGGCGGACATCCGGGCATTTTCACCTCCTGGCAACCCGCGGCGGTGAAAACAAAGGCCCAAAACTCGCAGAAAACGATATTTTGGGATGATTGTTGAGACTCTTCTGAACAGTGTAACACGATTAGCCCTACGTGTGTAACATATATAAATTTGGTTGTTCGGGATTACTTCAAAGTTGAGTTTGTGTTGTTTTCTCGAATTTTCATCGACTCGACCGTCGTTCCACAGCAGCGCGCACAGAGCCCATAGAAATGCATGTACAGTGGTGCGCGTCGTAGCAACGTGGAACGCCTTGTGACGTAGCTCCGCCCCCGAGGATATGTTAGTTAGTGTATATTTTTTGATCAACATACAAAATTATCGATTTTCACACCAAACAAACAAATAGTTTCATATTGCTGCTGGTTTACCTTATATGGTGTTGGGTTCAATGCCCTTTTATGGTCAGCTCGTAGACTTCGTAATGAACTCTCCATTCTTGATTTAATATCGTGTAGGGATTGCACTGGTTGACAAATCTTCACAAAAAATAGAAATTGAATTAACATAAGTGATTGACTGAACAATGAAACATACCCATCGATTACTAGAACTGTAAAATCTTTATTACTGGTTGAAACAGCGGTGCCTATTAAAATGCTACAATGCAATAAATGGAATGCGGTTTCTATTAGAGCACCAACACATATGAGAATACGCATTTCGCATGTTTGAAACACTATGTGAACGTTTTTGGTTTACAGATATAAATACACAGTTTTGGTCAGAGTTATCGCCTGCCAACTTTTTACAATTTTTACAAATATTATCTTCAATATATCAACTTTTTACACAGTTTTTCACACAGACTGATAGTTTAACGTTCCCTCTAAGTGCATGTAATAGTTCAAACCATGAGTGCAAGGAGTCGGTCAACAAGTGAAGTCAAACTGACAACGCTGGCTCGCCAAAAATCAATTAGCGATCTTGTAACAGCTGGTCCAAATGGCCACTACCATAGATTCTCAGCTCAAGAAAATCTCTAAATGTTTAAAAGTAAAAGATATGTGAAACAAACACATCTCGTATATAAATAACCGCATGACATCAAATCAGAAAGACAAGGAAGTGGACTTACCTTGCCTTCAAACCAATATTTTTTCAAAAGTGGTTCAACTGAGGCAGGAATAACATACGCTCTCTTGGATTCCTGAAAGTTGAAAAAATATTATAAGGTTACCACAAGAACACTGCAAAGTAATCACGAAAGCAAGTATGCAGTGATCATATCAGTCCAATTATGTTGTAAGCATATTTTTACAGCTTGTCATAATAGTTTAATGAGACAAAAGCTCAAAATTGGAACGAAAAATGCTTTGTGTCATGTGCATGATAAGGGATTCTATTATGGTACTAAACTATAGATCTTCAGTGAGCAATGTGAACAAAATGCAAATCACTGTTCAATGTTTCAGACAACAAATTTTGAATGCTTATTTGCCAGTACAGCTTTGTGTGGGCCGTAAATTCTTGGTGTTTTCGGTACTACGGTAGATGTATTTTAATATAAGCAATATACTGTAAAAGGGTTAATTATTCACTGGGTTTTAATTTTGCTTATTTCGCTGACAGTGAATATGTAAAATTTAGCATAGAACACATTAGCTAAATGATAAAACCGTGAATTTAAAACCCACTGAATATGCCTGAAAGGTAAATCAGTGAAATTTAAACCCAGTGAAAATTAGTCGTTTTACAGTATCACAACGCAAAGATAAACTCACTTCAAATGGATGCCGGCATAACACTCGTTGTCCAGGACTTGGTGCTTCCTCTTTCTCTTGCATCATCAGGTCAACAAGTGCATGTCCTAGGAAGCAATTATAATATAATATTATTATCCTTTGTGTCTCTATTCACCCAAAGAGTTCATGATATGTATAAACAAACTTGGTTTACAGATCTCAATAATTATCCTAAACTCGATAAATACGGAGATTTTAAGATCGATTTTGGATGTGAAAAATATTTGCATTTAATAAAAGACAACAAGTTACGTTCTACGCTATGTAGGCTTCGAACATCATCTCACAACCTTTGGGTTGAATCTAATCGTAAACTAAACATACCGAGGAATATGAGAATCTGTAAATTATGTAATTTAGGGTTGGTTGAAGATGAATACCATTTTTGCCTTGTATGTCCACGTTATGTAAATCTTTACCTATATTTTATCTGTCAAATCAGACTTATGAAAAATTTCTTTGTTTAATGCAGTTTGACAACTTATCTGTACTTCAAATTTCAAAATTTGTATTCTACGCTTCTAAACACAGAGTCAATCTACTTAACCAGTTGTGACTAGTAGATTCAACAATTATTTAAAGGAATTCCTCTATATGTATTTTTCTATTTTTTGATTTATTGTACCATAGGCCTGAGACCATTGTACTGAATAAAATTCATATCATATCATATTATTATACATCTGTCGTTGAAACGCCGTAAGTTACAGTGAGTCATAATTTTGTGGTATTGCACTGGGTATTTTCATCCTACCATATTAGGAAATGTGAATTCCAAATATGGAGCAATTACGTGCGCGAAAGTCTGCTAATAATAAAAACAAACATGGCAGCCCCCCGAAAATATGCTCTCGACAGTTCGCCGTCGAATTGACCTCCCCTGAGCGTTAGCCAATACTCTTGCTGTACTGTCTTCGTGCATACTTTTTGGTATCCTCGTAATAACCTCATAGTTCACCATTGTTGAGCCAAAGTAAGCATGGCATGTATGTAAAATATGTGTATATTTGTTTAATTAGTGGCAAATTTGCATATGCAAATGACAATGAGGTCTAAGGCCAAACTAAGTAAGATTTGGCATCATCCAATAAACAAGAAATTTAAATTTTGGTTTGGGTACATTTCTATTGCAGATGTGCTTGTAATAGAGAAAATACGGTAATCGATTTGTGATAGTCATGTGATCTCATAAGATGATTGCCTCCCAGATGTGACGAGTATATTCATGTGTAGCACAGATGTGATCATTTGCAAACATCAGACAGTAAAGTAACTGGAATATAATGATTTATTCTTTTCCTCGTAATTCACTTTTCCACAAAGTTTCACGCAAAACATTCAAACATCATTAGCAGGAGAAAATCACAAAAGTCTGACAAGCAGTATTTTGTCGATCAACGGTAAATATGCACTATCAATATGTGTGGCTTAGGGTTAGGTGAAACATACTGTGAGTAAGAGACATGTCCATTATTCTATATTATATCTAGCAAGACAGAAAACACTGTGTGGAAAGTATATAGAACAGATTATTCCTAGTATTTTTAACACATTGCCTACCATTTATGTATAGCCATTATGAATTTTACCGTACTTGATCGGTTTAGCGCCCAGGGTACACAGCTCCAATAATCATGTATTTTAGTGGGGTGGGTGCTTACCCGACCCCCAACCCAAAAGTGGGCAAATGACAATTTGACATATGACACATATGACAGATTGAGGCGAATATTACGTGTTTTTTTTGGAAAAAATTGTGAAATTAGTTGATTCGTCATTGATTTCAACACTTTTACAATGAAGAATCACAAATGATCACAAAAAATACACACATCTTATTACGATATTAATTACATACCACTAAAATTTATGAGGTTAACATTATTAAGAATTAGTTCATCATCATAATTATCTATACTGAAGAAAGTGTTTGAAGCATTTTCCGGCATGATGAATTTGCATGATTTGACCTGCAACAATGTCCTTTGACCTGATAGGTTAAGTCTGTTATAAACCAATCAGAATGCTGTATTGTACCGATGCAATTCTAAAGGAATTCCTAAAAGCATTCTTGGTCAAACAATGATCAAAGACAATGTTTTATGAACAGACACTAACATTTAGGGCATTTTGTTAGGGGATGGGCACTTGTGTGAACCAAATGTGAACCCACAAATAGAAATGTCCCAAAAGTGGGGATGGGCCCTAGCTGAGCTGGTTAAGTACGGTTATATAACAACATCATGCAGTAGGCAATGCGTTGGGAAAACATTTGACCGTGAAAATGAAGGTGAATTGTATGACTAATTTGAACAGAGGTCACAAAAGCAGCATGTAATGGTACAAGCTTACACACAATATGATTAACTTTCCATACACATACATGTACTATTGCATGTTATACAAATTTATCGTCAGACATTTAGATAATTTTCAGGGTAGAAATTTTAAATTATACATTTACAGAAAGTACAGAGCATAATATATCTTCCATTAAAATACAATTTCATCATAAAATAAATTCCTACCATCATGTCCATATAATCTAAAGACATTTTTCTTGCCAGGCAATGTCATCTTCTCCATGTCTTGACTGAGTTTCATTCGGGCTACTCCATCTACTTCCACTAGCTGTGATATAAACAAATAAAAAGTGTCACACAAAGATGGTATGAACTGCATGGCCAAGACTGGGATCACAATGGAAGGAGTGGAGACTGGAATATGGGGAGAGGCACTCAAACAAAAATGTATGGGTCTGTCGTCAAAACTCAAACAGAAATCAAAGCAGTTGGTCTATATATTGACTAGTAAAATTACATCATTTCCAGGAATGAAAAGGTAATATTTTTTGGTAAAAAATGATGCAAGAAATTTGGATCAAATCAGGTCCAAAAAACATACCTTTTTAGTTAATAGCATCAGTTATGAAAGCCGCTAAATGACATAACGTTGACATCACATCGCATAACATCATTTTAAATTTCCTCTTAAATTTAGTTATACATTATTTTTGTTTATGAAAATCAATCACAGGACATACATGTATCATACAATAATCAATTAAACAACAAATAGTTAGCGATGACATTCTTGCCAAAATCGCATTTATTTCAGGTTACAGACACTTATATACTATGTAAATTCATCAACTAAAATGTGAATTTGACGTAAGCGCTGAGTAAAGTAAAATATTCACTAGTGTTTCACCCACCCAGCATCATTGGCCTCTACGACAAATCACAGTTGAGAATGTATATCTATTAGATAAATTACAAAACAGAATTCATCATAACTTGACAAATACAAAATGTTCTTACTCAACACATGTACCGGGTATTACCGTACCTTAAACACACATCCTAATGCTGGCTGTCTCTGGCACGTTACTAGATGAGTTCCAATACCGTATGTATCGATTGAATGACCCTGGAAAGGATCAAGAATATAATAATAATGGAGTATAAACTATTGTTAAGCACACAAATTATTCAAGATTTAGAGAAAATCGCAGACGATTCTGTTGCAGCGATAGTTTTGCTGGGGTGTATGCGATTGGTAGTAGCGTGGAATTCCTGACTTTTGAGTTCCTATTGGCTTCTCATTTGCATAACTATTTCAAAGTTTGAACGCATAATATAAAATGCTGTGTATTCTATCTAAATTTTTACTTTTATTACAATAAAGAGGCAGAAAATTGCAGGTATCAGCTGGAATGATTTCCTAGACAAAATTACGATATGAGCAAACATCTCAAATTTTTTTATTTGCCTTATTGGTCTTTCCAACATGAATTCTAAGCCAAGCAATTTTTCTCAGCTCTAGTATTTTCTTTTCGTTAATTTAGTTGTTTCCCATTTCCTGAGTTATACTTTCTGGTAAATCGCCTAACTCAAATAGTTCAAGAAAATCACTGTTCATTGTAATAAATTAGTCATACCACAGGTACATTACTTGGGGTTTGCAACGCGCCTAATACTGTATGGTGACATCATGTCAAGATCTCATTCAAGTCTTTTCTCGTAGATGGCGAGACTGAGGCTACGACCTTCTGACATGACATATATCAATGTTCAAGGTCTTGCCACTATCATAGTGAAAAATGTAATACATCGAAAATGTACAAAAAATACAGTTCTCGTAATCCGTTACATCATGGGCAGCCATTCTAATCCACCTGGACCACACAGTAACCTAGTTACCTTGGGCATGCGCATTCGTATTGTTCTGAGCTGGGAACGCTTCTTATGCGAGAGCGAGATTGATCAGGATCTTGGTATCATGTCACCGTAGTTGCAAACCCCAAGTAATGTAAATCTGGTCATACACATTGCCATTCCATAACTCAGATACAAACATGTACCAATATCATAGTCAAGACATTGATTTTTTGCTGGAGTTAAAATGATGGAAAATAACATCAAAAAGTCTGGGATATTTCTCCTGTTATTTTTTTATTGATTGCACAGGAAAAACACCAAGGAGCATTGCAATACCAGTTGACCATTTTATATGGTCTGTAGGCTGGAATCCAGAAATAATATACCTTCTACTTAATGCTAATCAGGTGCATACAATGTTGTATTAAATTGAAACCCACTCCAGATGCCAGACACCACTGTCATCTAGGTACTTTAATATGCCCTTCAACGATGTACTTGCAAAAAACGATACCTGGAGAATCAGGAATTGAAATATAGAATGCCCACATGATACGACATAGTACCTTACCTACCTGATGTCATTATTATACTCATCATTGTAATACTTTCATAGCTCTATAAAATTATAAAATAGGGGCTGACCAAGCCAGCAAATATGCCATGTCTTAAAAACAAAAGGGAGGATATAAATCACAATTAGAGTGGAGGGCGTTATACTCACCTGCTGGTTAAGGGAGTGGATGGTCTCCTCGTTTATATCGTTACTGGCGACTATATTAAGCTTAGCAAACCATGGCAAATTATATCTATAGCAATGAAAATAATTAAACCCATTAGTAAGCAATTAAGCTTAAATTACTTCTAGATTCATGACTTCGTTCGGGAGCCCTATTGTGAATTGTGCATTGTGACCATTGTTAGTTAAAGCGAGACGGTCATCACCTGTGCACACAGGAATTGAGTCCCAAGCGACGATAACAACACACGCTACAAACGCAAAGGCTCATGGGCAGACGCTTGTTTGTAAACAATGAAACGCTATGGTCATCTGACACATGCGCAGGTGACGACTCCCCAAATTTAAATAACAATTTCCTCTCCCGACATGTTTGACATCTGAAACAAATTTGAACTTGATTGGCGGTTTATGTTGGCAAACTGCGCAAGCATTTTAAAATATTTTTGTGTGTACAAAGCAATTTAGAATATTGAATAAGTGAAGCTTCACTGGCTTAAGGGTGATTATCAAGCTCCTTAGTGTACTAAAAAATTGGCACTAGCGTAAACATTCAGTAAGAGATCTTTCTAGGTATATCACACTCTCTTGTAACATATGTATTTACTGCTTCTCTAAACAAATACATCTATCTAACTTCAAGTTTTAACTTGAGTGTAAAAATGCAATTTTGTTATTTAAATTTTTTAGGTACATACATGTACAACATTTTGTGTGTATTAGTTGCACCCTACAGGTCTTGCCAACAATTTTAGAAGCCAAACCTGTGTATAACGATGATCCAGGGGATTTCATTCGAATAGTCTGTAAAGGCAGGTTGTCCTTAAATTGAGGTTGGATTTTTTTTTATAGATTATCAGCTCAAACATTTGACAGAAAATAACAATTCATTGCGCTGGTTAAAATCAAAAAAGTAAAATTTAAGAGAATTAAAAATTTGTCTATACAAAGGTGAATCAGTAAAATATTGTGAAAGGGATGGTGACATAAAATAAGTGTCTTTATGCACAGGTTCCAAATATGTTATGCTTTGAGACTGCCTAAAAATGGTCCCCCTAGGCAGAGATACTTTATATAGAGCTGGTCACTTGCAGGGGTCTGACTGTAAAATCATTTCTCCACTCCACATAAAAGAGCAGTGGTTAGTTAGATTTCACTCGCATGAGGGAAGTTGTCGGTTCAATTTCCTGTTGGTTCAATTGTTCACGGAGTAGCATAAAACAGCTACAGTAAAGTCTGTTCTGCCTTTGTAACAGGCAGCATTACTTTGGCAGAGTGGTTACCATGGGAACTTACAATTACAACCAAAAACAAACGAAAAATACAACATGAATGCCAGCGATGACCTAACATAGTAGTTTCAACTTACTTGTCGGCAATCTTTGTAAATATTTCCCTAGCTCTAAGTGATAGATAAGCTAAATCACCACTATCAAGTCGTATACCAATTGATTTGTACCCAAGATCATGCAGAGACAATGCCACAGCAACAAAGTTAGGAATACCACTCCTAAAAAAAAAAAATATTAATCAAGTGAAAAAATTGCAACATTTGTCACATGAGTTGTGATGAAAACCCTATTTTTGATGAGTACAATATACAATATGTTCAACATGTTTTTGGTTTTATGTAACACAATTATTTTTTTTTTTAAATACTGTGGTTATCACATTGATAATTATTTACTGTAATACCTAGAATTGCATCGTTTTCAATTATTCGTAATGCTTTTTTCAAGTCTCGGCCACAGGTGAATTTAAACATTCTTGTATTCTTAACATCCATGCATGCATACATACATACATACAATGAATGCTTGAACATCTCTAGTATTACTCAAAACATTAGAAAGACAGTTTGTAACCAGGAAATGATTATTCATCATTGTTTCTTGCACTTTTTTAAATCGATTGGACAGAAGTACACTGTGAATTGCATTCACACATTACTCGTTACTAATCAGCCCAGTTACAGGTGCAGATTGACGCACGATAGTGAAATTACAAGTCCTCGCTTTCGGGCTACGTCCAACCGGGATAATTAACAATCCGCGCATTACTTAACGGTTACAATACGGTTACCTGTTTCCTGATCATACCTGAGAACGTCATAGGTGTCAACTAACGCTAGAAACCCAGTTGGAAACGCCATGGCATACGATATAAATGACGCTAGTTCACCCTTATGTGTTTCTTCTTTTAAAATCTCAAGCAATCCTTCAATTCTATCCAGCCATGTCTGACTCATCTCCACTAGATTTTGAAGTGATTTGCTTTGGTCTGCTGGCTGTAACATCTAAATAATAAGAAAGATTGTTAGTTCATCTTTGTAAACCAGATTGCACATACCGATAATACCAAGCACCCATTGGAAAATGACACATCATTTACATCAAGCTGCTAACTTAAAATCAAAAGTATTTGAATTTTAAAAATTTATGAAATTAATTAACTCAAGAGTCTAGTGTTCATCTTAGACTAATCCTAATGAAAATGCTGATTTTGTAATATAGTCTATCTTCGATGGCCGAACAGAGAATCTTACATATGATTCGGTGACTTGATGACTCCCTAAGATGCTGAAAACTCAAATCACAACCGAAGCCTACACATTTATTACATTACTCAAACAGCATTTTGCTGATAATACAACTTTAACTAGTTATATACAAAAGTAGCCTACCGCATTTACCTTAAAGTGTGATGATAAATTGTTTCTGTATACACGACTAAATTATATACATGTATAATACTACTATTCTTCTATCCCTTACGTAATTTAATAGTTACCAAGGTAACAGCAAGAAAAAAGTATGTCCATTAACGAAAGCAATTATCCTTATGTCCTTATGCATTTAAATCTATGGATTAGTTATTAAGCAATATACAACAGTGTTTGGGGAAATTATATGAAAGTGTCATCAATTGGAGAGAACTCTAGATGCGAGAAGAAAGGGAATACAGGTTTAAAATGAACCAACTTATAGTGTAATGTTAAACACAGGCAAGCAAGATGGTTGGAAAAAAATTACTTTTACAAGATTTAATAGTGACAACTAAATTTCACCGTGGGTAAAATACTACAACTACCGATAACCCATCACCGATAGCAGTAACTTACATAGATAGCATTCACTGGTAAACCGTCATCAACAACCTGAATTAACCGGGAGAAAACAAGGAAAAAATATTGGGGAAAAAAGCATCAATGTCTTGCTAATGACATGTGTGCATAGTCAGGATGAAAGGGTGGTTGGTTAACCCTAGGTGTGATGTAGAGGAAAGCGATGCATGCAAGCGCAGAAATATTTTGAAAAAAAGCATCAATGTCTTGCTAATGACATGTGTGCATAGTCAGGATGGAAGGGTGGTTGGTTAACCCTAGGTGTGATGTAGAGGAAAGCGATGCATGCAAGCGCAGAAATGTTTTGAAAAAAAGCATCAATGTCTTGCTAATGACATGTGTGCATAGTCAGGATGGAAGGGTGGTTGGTTAACCCTAGGTGTGATGTAGAGGAAAGCGATGCATGCAAGCGCAGAAATGTTTTGAAAAAAAGCATCAATGTCTTGCTAATGACATGTGTGCATAGTCAGGATGGAAGGTGGTTGGTTAACCCTAGTGTGATGTAGAGGAAAGCGATGCATTGCAAGCGCAAAATGTTTTGAAAAAAAGCTCAACATGTATTACATGTGCTTTGCATTTTCAACCTTTTCACCACCTGTTCACTCTAAAATCACAGATTCACAAAATAGTTCCGTTTATAGTCACTTTTCTCCAAAAGATTAGGACAAAAATAGTCATTTTTTTTATTAAAAACTGAAAATTGACTCAAATTTTGTCTGTTGCCTTTGAAATTAGGGTTGATTTCCAGAAATATTGAAGGAAAAAGAAAAATATACAGACAAATCTGGACAAAAATGTTAAATACAGCAAGAATCTTGCTTATTTTCTATTTCTTGTTTGTTTATATTGACATGAGATCTCATTGCAGACCATCATATGAATGAGATCTTCATTGCAGACCACCATGTGCATATCTTTATTTTATAAATCTTAGAACGACGCATCCACTATTTAGTATAAACATACATAGTAAGGTGAAGTACCTTGTGATTGACAACACTCTTCCACCACAGAGGGCGTCATACCACGTCATAGTTTTCGATCGGTTTAAATAAAATAAATACATGCTATGAGTTTATGGCAACAATTGAAACTAAAAATAAATGTGTTGTTTTATCATAATAATTAATCATGATGCTATGTATGTTGGTTCATATTGTTATATAAAAGTATTTTTCAATGAAATTTTTTATAATATATGGATCTATGCACCCCTCCCCAATCTCTATAATTCTCCTTACCCTGTTTTTGAGGTCATCTAGTGACGTGAATGAGGTCACGAACGCATGGGCATGAGTGCCTTTAACTGGTATGTTGAACAGCTTGCCGGCAAGTACGTTACTCGTCCCATCGAAACCTACACAAGAAGTCAGAAATATTTCGACAAATTATCGTAGTCATCATTACCCACAAATCCCTCATAGAGTCAAAATGCAACAAACATGTTCACCACCAAGCTAGGGCATTACCTCTACTAAATAATGGAATGTACCTTTATTCTATACTGCCATCATTGAACAGGTCAGATCCATTTCATTCAGAGGGGTGGAAACCACTTACCTCCAATATAACAATATTTAGATGCTGATAGTCCACCGTCTGGTCCCTGTGCTCTCCTCAATCCAAATTCCAACAGACTTTTGCCCGGTCCTGCAGCCATACGAAATCTAGCAGCATTGGTGGCAACCAGGCTTGGAAGAAAAATATATTGAAAAATTGAATATTCTTGATGTCTAATGACTTTATCCAAATCCAAGACAAGCAAGGTAAATAGCATCATTGAACAACCAACAATTTGAGCAGGAAAGGTTTCAACAAACTGTTTGGTTATTGTGGCATTTCGATATTTCTGCATACTGTAACTATGGATCACCAACCAACATGGTGGTGTTCGGTGAAGACTAGTTTTTAAATTCTCCCCAAGATACAAACAGCGTGACAGTATCACCACAGTGCTTTGTTTTAACAACCATACTGATCTGACTCTGTCATAGTCATTATCTTGACTGCCACAGTGCCATTTCCACTGCACCATTGTTAATTTTTCGATCAAATTGATAAGTTGCTGAAAACATAAAACTTGTGTAGTTGCATTACTCAGTTAACAGTTTTGTAAGACAATAATTTAAATTAGTAAAACTGAGTAGGTTAATCATCACAATTTCTGTTTCAAATAACTATGCAAATATATGCAAATGATACGCAAATTAGTATGATGTACATTCTTACCACCAAGGTGGTTTAAATTTCTGGGAGAACACTGAAGGCAGGAAATTAAAATCAACAATTACACAATTAACAATAGAAATTCGTAACACATAATTCGAGTGATGGTATAACAAAATAACTCATCATTTGTAAATTCAATCCATCAAAAAAATATTTTAATTATATAAATACACTTTGAAAAGAAACAAGATTCATAAACATAAATCTACTTGAATACATTCTCACTACAAATTACACAATACTTATTTTCTAATGGAGATTCTTCACACCACAAACTATTGGAATCATGCACACATGTGAGTACTTCGGTGACACATTTTATAGCTACGCCCAAAGTAGTCCATCATTTATTCTGCAACTGTGACCACATGACATTCTGTTAACATTCACACATTTTCATAAAATCTCCATGCACTTTTTAATCTTTCATAAGTAAAATACACTACAATTAACAATTTCCCTGGTATATTCCTACATTCTTGCATACTAATGAGGGGTTCAGACACATTCCAAGCTGAACAATTTTCTTGGACTAATAAACAAAGCTGGTCAATCTGTTCCCAGCAAAAATACTGCCGACTAGGACAACCAGAACTTTTCTTGAAAAAAAATATTTCTAATATTTATTTATCAAATTCGAAAGCTATTTACCGTATAATGCAGCATGTATCACACAGACAGATTTAACAATTTTGGAAGTAAATGATACTGGAAGCTATGAAAGTTATAAGAATTCTGCAAAATATACATGAATATATACTGCGCATAAAATCAGGATTATTATAAAATTATTCTTGCATGTGGAATATAATTTAGTAACAGATAAATGCCCAAATGCTACATTACACATGTGTTTCAATTGTAAACAATGGAATGTATTTGAATCTGACTAAATGTGAAATTTGAAAAATAAGAAAATTTCATTTTTTACAGTTAGCTCAATTGTATTGCCAGAAATATTATAATTACATTACAACTATCTCTTGAATCATTCATTCTCATGAGGATTTGAATTTTTTTTTTTTGGGGGGGGGGGAGATATTTTTTCAAGACGAATTTATTATTCACACCTATTCTCAGGGTGGAGCTACCGATACATCATAGAACGTTCTATGTTGCCAAGATGCGCACAACTGTAGCATGTATTTCTAAAGGCTCTGTGCAAGCTGCTGTGGAATGCCGGTAAAAATGGCAACAATCAAGAACAAACAAATTTATGTATGTTGCACATATAAGGGTAATCTCGTTACACTGTTCAGGAAACATCTAGACAAAATTACATTTTTTTGAGAGTTTTCGACTGTTAACTAGTTGTGGTCCACCTTGAAAAATTGTGTGTGTGTGTGTGTGTGGGGG